CTTCCTGTTTATTCTATATTATGGCACAAGTATAATATTTACAAAGGTTTAAAGCGTTTGAGCCCATCCGTGTAAGTAAAGAATATTTTTAATGGATGACTGATTACTAGTATTTAACGTGTTCAAACACAGTGTCCTACTTAGCACAAAACATGCTACCAATAAGTCACGTGACGGAATTTAGTATTCACAAAATTACCTGGAAAGATATCACGTGGTAAATTATAATATTCAACGTGTCACAGTCCTTGGTTACAACAGAGAGAGCGATTTTTTCTCTTTTTAACCATGAGCGCATGTTTGTCTATACAGTGAATCTCCTTTTGACACATTACTTTTGCAAATATACAGCTACTGTTAAAAGAACAATAGACAAACATGCGCTGACTATATATGTATAAAGTCAGTAAAAAAAGTGGGCGTCATTATCGTACGGAGATTGAAGAAATTGTGGCGACCCCCGCCTTAAAAAACAGATTCCTTCATCACAAATGCTAGTACATACTTTTATTTATTGTAAATAAGTAAAGTTGTAGGTTACATGTTGATCATTTCTGCAATTGAAAGAAAAATGTTTGTTTTAAAAGTTTATTTCGACGCAAATTTTGCATATCCTTAAGTGCAGTCATCCTTTGTCCACAATGCCTGGGTGGCAAATGACATTTTCCTGGATAAATAGAGAATAATACATGGCAAAATCTGAATCACACCCCATATCAACCCGAGACTCCAATATCTTGGTCGAGGGTTGATATATCTGATGTGATACAGATCATGTATTATTGTTTTTATTATTTATTTGAAAATAGTTTACAGTGTGACGTCGTGAAATGATTATGTTATATATGCCATACACATCATTTTGGTAAAGAAAAGTTAACTGATACCAATAAAATATCAGAATACTGAAGAGCACTTTATCTTTGCAACATCTTATTTTAGTGAGGCCTCTTTTTTTTGGCATTAGTGAGCCAGATGAATTTTTGGGGCACTATGGTTTTTGTTGTATATACATTTAATCCTTGTTACTTATGGAAATATTCCCAAGCATTTAATTTTTGCGAGTAGGAAAACTCATGTAATTACACAAAAAATAAAGCTCTCACAAAAACTGATATAAAGAACAACCATAACACAGTGATAAAATCAAGATATACAATGATTTATTCATTTCTTAAAATACTATAGAATTTTAAAAGCAAACACCAGTGGCAAAGTTAATCAAGTATAGATTTCTACCATAATCTGTACGGTGTCTATTGCTCGAAATATTGCTTACATATCATCCTAAACGTATAAAACACTGGGTAAAAGTCACTGTGAACCTTTTGTTCTTAATTACTTCTTCATTTTGATCAAATTCTTTGTATTAAACCCTTAAAGGACTTCTACCACTCTGTTCAATGCTTTCTCTGTTTTTATCTTCCATTAAAGGTTCGTTGGTATTTTGTGGTTTTTGTATATACTTAAAAAGTAGAAAAATTAAAATTAAAAAGAGCCTTTGGACTTTAACTTTGATCAGTAAAATATACCCTGTTCAACTCTGTCCTATTCTTTAAAATGAAAATTTAGGATAAAAAATATTAGAAGTCCTTTATATGAATAATAGTGGCGCATCTTATTTGTTCTTGAATGATCAAAAATTACCCATTTTGACTAAAAAAAGAAAAGATTTTTCACAGTGTATATAAATAGATCACCCTGCTCAAAAACACGGATCACATGACTATTCCCCATCACAACTTTCATCTGTCACAACTGTTTACAGGTCATTGTAACATAAACATGGATTTATAATCTTGATAGATCCACTGATATTGCTAAGTTCATACAACTAAATGCCCATCTGCCCGGTGAGTTATCAGGGATTTAAACATAACAATACTGCTTGTACAGAGATCTTGCATAGGAGAAGGCTACTCACTTTTGGTTTGGCTTTTGGTAGAAGTAAAATTTTCAGAGATTTCCTTACTTAGTTTTGAAGAAAAAAGTTTAAAAGTTTTAGACAGATCTGGGCTTCCTAAAGATCTAAAAGAATTGAAAATTACATTTTTTTTGGTCAGATATAAAAAAAATTTCATTCCATTGATTATACGTCAATCCCAGAAAAAAAATTTGATCTACTTCTTTGGAGTACAAAAATAACTGGAGAATGACCAGCTAGTTACCAAAATAAAAAATTAAATAAAAAAAAAATTGCAATAAAAAATGCATGGCAAAAGGCAATGCATAAATTAATACATTGTTATTTTAATCAGACCTTAAGATTCAGAATACCTTGTCTTTACCCCAAAATGACCTCTTATCTGGTTTTAAATAATTTAACAATAAGTCTGGTGTACAAGATAAAATAAAACACAACACCAGTAAAATGAGAACAGAGATTTGCGACACAGGATAAAACCTTGTAGTTCATTAATTTGTGATTTCTGACTGCACGAGAGAGCAGAGAATTTTGTTCAGGATAGAAGTGTTATATCGATGATTAAAGCGCAACTTTATATGACCTTTTCTCCTAGCACCATGGGGCATCATCATAAAAAACAGAAACATTCACAATATACAATATATAATATAACCACAGCCCTCAGTGATTGCATAATAACAAAAATTTAGACCAGTAAGACATTATAAAATACAATCATGACAAAAAAATGATAAAATAGAATCAACAGTTGTGTGTCCATAGAAGATCTCATTTCTCTTAATACAAATTTATATCTGAGTTGGTTAAACAATTCAATGCTATCATTTCAGCTCTAGGCAATGAACCAATGTCAACACAATCGGGGTAGATAGGGACTTATTCTAAAACATCTTTATACATGTGATGTTGATTTACCGAGCTAAAGCTTAAAAGGGGGGGGGGGGGGGGGCATTGCTAGTAAATATATTGGAGCACAAGATCAGGTCATCACAACTTATAAGATGCAAAGTTAATAATAGCTATCAAAACAACACAAAGTTAACATAAGGATCTGTACACAATGAACAATGGAAACATGATCTGTGGCCAGTACTGCCCACAATACATAGAATTTATAATATAATCATCAACTCTATTCCTGTTGTAGTGAGCTGCTCTCAATTTTGATTGGTCAACTGCACACCAAGGTTATGTCAAGGTCGCACTGGCTGCCCAGTAACGGTGTACACTCACACGAGATCTGAGCATGCTCACTAACACATTCCTTACAAAGCGAGAGAGGACAGACCTGAATTTCCTCTGTTGAAGGTTATTGCAGAAAATAAATAATTGTGCTTGAGTCCTCTCTCTTCAACAACCATGATTAATGAGGGCAATAAGAGGTCATACATAAATATGCTGCTTATAAATATCACTAGGACACGATGCCAACTTTGGTACATCACGAGTTAAAAAAGACAAATCTCCCCGGACTATTAATAGCGTAATCTCTCAACGAATATATCTTACTTGGACTAGTGAAGCATTTAAATAAATACATAGCAATCTCTGCCTCTTTTCTACAAAAATACTATAGGCCTAACCCCACCCTCTGATTTTTAGGTTGTTAGGGTCATTGGATATCATAACTGTTGGTATTTCAGATAATGGTTACTGGCATGGCACGATATTGGACAATGATACGTGATAAAAATTTTGAGATCCACTCCACACAATATTGAACATCTTGAAATCATAATGCACAATTGTAAGCAAATCTGTCAAGATATTTTTACCAACATACTGTATTATCTTCAATGGTTTTTCACCTAATTACATTGGACAAATTTTATTTCTACCAAATTAAAATATAATAGTTTACACATAAAAGGCTTAAATGAGTTCTGCTAAAATGGTAATGAGGGAATTTTATTGCATGGGTCCCTTACCTACTTATAACTGTAAATATCCCCAATACCCTGAGAGGGGTCAAACATTTGGCTTTGTTACTTTTCCAGTGGGAGTTGCATAGAACACAGTTCAGGATTTTCTTTTCAAAATATTTTAAAATCAGTTTAACAATAAAAATCTCCCTAACTATACAGAGTATGTTGAGCACTTCTTATATACAACAATTTGTCACGGTTCGGCAACTTTTGATAATTATTGTGCTTGGGAGCCCCGATTATTGCACACAGTTTGTAGTGGGAGAAGGATCAGCAGAGATATATTGGAGATTGTCAAAAACAGGAGAGAGGGCACTTCAGAATACTTATAAATAGCACCTACCACGCCTGCTGTAACTGTGGGACTGAGAGGGATGAAACACAACACCGAGAAACCAGCCAACCGTGATAATCACTGGGGCGTATCACAGGCAAGGCGGGCCGTCATCAATAAGTAGACAGTAGAATGCTGCGTCCCCAACCGTCTGGAAGGCTCATTGATATGGTTACAACATCACCATGACGACATGATATGCTCATTACACAACATGACTAGACTAATTATGCAGGGTCATAAGGTCACAGGGGGGTTTTACTTGACTGGAATCTCCCCAAGTCATAAAAAACAGACTCATAATAAAACAATGTCACAGAGAAATAAATAGGTCACCTGTACACAACGGGACTACGAAAAAGGAAATAAAGTGATAGCAAATAAAAAGGACTGGGTTAACTCCCTTGGTAGGTGGTAATTTTAGTTGACTATATATTGGTGGACCTCTCCTTTGGTGGGACTATAAAATAAACTATGGCAAGTTAAAAACATAAATAAACACTGAGCTATTACAACAAATGATATGCTAAGCTAATGGGGAGTAGGAGTATTGTGCCAAAAATGGGATTACACCCAAAATACATGGAATGACTAAAATGTAGATATGCTTCGTATGAAATGGCATCTTTCGTCAACAAAGTTTGTCTGAGAGATTTCTCAGTTATGGCAGAAATATCTATTTTGAGCCTTTAAGCACCACATGCATCTTTGCTGGCAACAAAAAGCTGCTAGTATCAGGTCAAAGATGCTTCATTTTGTTAAAAAATCATAGACACAGTGGAATGTACGCTCTACCAAGTCAGAATGGTTTCTTGTTAAAAAAAAAAAATAAAAGCACAATTCTATAAAATAAATACAGTTAATACCCCATAGTCATCCTAACAAAAGTCAAATCTAATCACTACCTGCCCTAAACACAAAACCTCCCTCTAAAAATCAGGGAAGTCTACCTCCCTATGTTAGGGAAGGATACACAAAATTGTCTCCCTTTTCCTGGACACATGTCAATGTTCAGGTCAAGGTCATGTTGTGTTGGTTCCCAGATCAGGCGAAGTACATGACCTTAGTTGTGTCTGGATGCACGGTCACGGCGCGGGCCATGGCTGTGGGGGTCCTATCCTCGCTGTTATCAGAGTGACGGCTTCCCTCTCCACTGTAATAACAAAGCAACAGTTTTAAAATTTCCTACATTTTTTTTTACTTATAAATTGATATTTTTCAATTAAAATTCAGTAATAATAAGCATTCATAACTCTTTACTCATAAAGTTTATATGGAAACTTTTATTTAAAAGCTCTGTAATACATCAAATCTGCACACACTCAAAATTCATCATATTTGAACAAAATATATTGGCAGTTGCTGATTGTAAAGAATACTCTATCTAACTTCAAACTTATAGATACAATTACAACCATTTCGTTATTTAAACTAAATGACATCAAAAATACAGCGCGTATCCCATCATTCCTACCTGTCGTGTTCCTTTTCCACCAGGTGATAGCGAGCCCGGAATGCCACTAGATGTGCGTAATACGCGGGGGCGGGTATAGAGACACTGCGTGTACAGCGTACGTAGGTGTGACACAGCTGATATGTCAGGGTCTGTAGCTCATCAGCATTAAATCTGTTGTCATCCCACAGCACGTGGTAATGGGAGGGACGACTGGTACCCTGTAACACACAGCATTGTCATCTTCTTATAGAACTTACATTAAAATAAACAAGATACGAGCCATACAGTCAAATCTCACAAAAAACACTTACAGCAAAAATATATTTAACTTGATAATGGCTACTCCATCCCCTTGTTAAAAAGATTATTGAGTTTAAAACATCAGACTCCATAACATGTGTAAGTAAGTTTCCTTTTCTCCAATTTTTTTTTTGTCAATTCAAAGGTATGTTAAAAAGAGTGCTACATGTATATACCGAAATCCATATACGTTTCATATCACCCCTATTAGCCTTATGAGTCAGAATTATACCTGTATTCCAGCATGACTACAGAGGTAGAAGTCGAATTCTGTTGGATGAGTGATTCCCACATCTACAGTGGTGCCTGCTGGGATATTTCCACTCCGACCAATCTGGTCCTTACGATCGGCACAGAACAGTCGGGTGTGGTGGCGTTTCTGTACGACGATAAACGTGATCCCCGGCTGGTATCCCAGCTCCAGCTTCATACAGGCTTCTCGTAAAGCTCGGAGCTCATGCTGCAAAACCTGGAAGACACACACAAGACTAAGAGACTGGCTCAGATTTTAGTTTTTTATTATTCAAGTTCTTTTTCTAAATATTGTTCTCCACAAAGTCAGATTTGTTGAATACACAATTTTTCCCTTCAAAACCACAGTTATGTCTTCTTGATATAAGACAGCAATATTTTAATTTATGGATAGTAAGTTTAATTCTCAGAACAATATCAATGCTTACTTCTGATCCTAGGACAAGTTCACATGTCTAGAAAACTTACACCTTTGTATAGGCGGTATAGAGTATAAAATCTATATATACAGATGATATGTATCTATGATCTTTAATCTGTTTTGACGGATTTACCTGCTGGAATTGTCCCTCACTGACGCCGTCTCTGTAGAAGATGATCCGCGTCGGTTTGAAGCGCGTGGCCTTGTAGAAGTGAATTAGGAGTTCTCTCACCATGGAAGACAACTCTTGTATGATCTCCTGTCGGTGCTGCTGTACTCGGACTGTGGAGGAGTATCTACTGGGATGGGCGTCCATACTGCCCACCACCTACACAAACAGAAACATCAGAATCAATAACCACCTACACAAACAGAAACACAAACATAAACTTATCATCAGAATCAGGTTATAATAATGATGTGTCCAGAGGAACAGAAAAGCATTTAAAACAAAAATTACATCATGAACTTCTATCTTATATTACACAATTATAAATGGTATTTTCATGTTATACTACACAGCTAATTGTGCCACGTACGTGTTACATATGGTTGCACATAACACATGTATCACGTATGTGAAATGTACGTATCACATACGTGTATTACAAACATACGTTTCACGTATGTGGTACAACGTACGTATTATAACATATGTGTGACTACATATGTTTCACATAACGTACGTTAAACGTATGTTTGGAATACACGTATGTGTTACGTACGTGAAACGTACATGTAACATATGTTATGTGCAACCATACGTTATACGTACGTTGATAAACGTACGTACGTTGATAAATGTACGGTTTACATGTGTATTGTCAACCACATGTTACACGTACGTTAATTAACATATGGTTTACATGTGTATAGTCAACCACATGTTACACGTACATTAATGAACACATGGTTTACATGTGTATAGTCAACCACATGTTACACGTTCGTTAATGAACTCATGGTTTACATGTGTTTTATAAAGCACAAATGTCATGTATATATAGTTTATGTGCATTATAAACCACACATTAAATATACTAATGTACATAAATAAATTATGGTTAACTTGTTTTCTAAAGCTCTCATTACATATATGTTGATGAATATAGTATGTGTATTACATGTATCAGGCACATGTTACATATACATTTAAAAAGGTATTTTACATGTGTGTGAAAACCTATGTTTGAGAATGAGAAGGCTGTATATTTTGTAAATTCATACAATTACATACATGTATGATAAATGTAGGTTGACTATAAATCTAATCCTTTTTATTTTATTTCAAATTTAATGTATTAATTATTTAATCAAATTATCATTTAGTTTTTGCTATAAAGAGAAAAAAAAAAAACAATGCGTTAAACATAAATTGTTGCTTGGGACTACATAATTTCGCTTAAAATACAGGAACTTTTTTGTATAAAAGTATGGCTGACTTCCACAACTAACTATTTTTCCTTAATAGTTTAAGTGATTTTGGAGAACTATAATCAAGATATTATTTAACATAACAATCAATAGGCACTTAAGGCTTAACCTGTTATTCAGGAAGAAGAGCAATCATAGTGATATGACCATCTATAAAATCCTTCTTATAACATGCATAACAGGTCCTTAGATCAGAAGTTGCATGTATTTTAATGATTATATTTTAAAATCTAAAATAACTTTTTTTGACATAAACATTATTATGATGTTTGGTTAAACCCAATCACCAGATCACAACTGAAGCATGCACATGTGTGCGTTGTTGACTTGTCGTGTGCGTATTTAATGTTTCAATTTATTTCACATTGTTTACCTTACGTCCACTTTCATGTCTGGCATGATGTTATGAGTTCGCATTGGTTTAAAATTTACTCTAAAACAGTAAACAAAGTTTACATAAAAAGTTCTCCAATCTCGTCATGTGTATCGGATATCGGTAGGGGCACATAAAATTGAACTCGGTCATCGGTAGATATAATCAATCCGAATTCAAGAGCTAAAATATATTTTTAAAAAAGAAAGAAATTCACGATAAATTCACAACAAATCTCAAAAGGGAGTAAATGATTCATCTAGATAATTATCAAATATACAGTGGGTACCGTCCGTATAAAACTTATAAAATATACCTTCCGGAATTTTCTAGCCTCCATTTATGTATTACATGTACGTCAGTGACGTCACTGGAAAGAGAAGTCTGACGTCTGCAAGTTCTAGGGCCTAGCTGAAGGTGAGGAATGCATAAAATCAACAATTATTTAATTACTTTATGACTGTGTGTTACATGTAAACTAAGGGGGTGTTTTTTTTTCAGTGTATTACATAATGGAGACTTGGGTTATCAAAAACAGAAAATATTGACCATGTTGAGGCAGTGAGCTGTCTTGGGCAGCACCCAGGTGTATCCATCAACACGGGCACGTTATATCAAAATCATGCAGGTGAAGTTTAAAAATACTGTTATAACAATTAAGTATTTATTGAAAATGTTTTTTAACCTAACAAATAAGATGCAAAAAAAAAAAAAAAAGAAACAACAACTATTTGATGTAAAGTTCCACTCACTGAATTTATTTCTTTTTACAGTATTTAAAACATCACATTAGATGGTAGATGGTAAAGGAAATTATTATCTTTGAGTGCAATAATGGTGTAACAGTTTTGTTTTTACATATCTGCCCTTTTTAATCCTTATGAATATAAATTGTGTTTGAGATTAATGCCCTGTTCACACGACGAGTTTAATTCGCAGTAAATTAATGCGAAGTAAACCAATGCGGATCTAATTAATGCGAATTAAATTGCGTTCACACGACAGCTAATGCGAAGTAAACTAATGCGAATTAAAATTTTTCTTCTACAGTCAGGCGTCAGTAAGTCTATTATGACGTCATTTGTAAATCACGTCATGTATGCAGAGCCATCCTTTGATACATCATGTAGTGGCTACAGGTATTCATTGATTTTAGTGATTCACATACTTTCCCTCAATTTTTGAATCAAATATAGCACATATACCTATATATAACCGCCAACACGTGTTCTGTGGTTTACTTGGACCTTACGCATGCATCAAAATTTAATTCGAATTAGCTTCGCTTAGCGTTCACACGGAGCTAATGCGAAGTAATTTAATGCGCAGTAAATTAATTCGAATTAAACTAATTCGCATTAAATTCTCCGTGTGAACGCTAATCGAAGCTAATTCGCAGTAACTTTACGTTTAATTCGAATTAAACTCTCCGTGTGAACAGGGCATGAGAATTTTTATGTGATTTTAGATATATGCATTCCAGGATGGTGACTGAAGCTCATCTTTGTAAACACCTAAATGCCTAGAATGGACTCCAAAACAGATTCTTAAAGTTTAACCAGTATAATCTTGAATATGGTAATACTTTTAATTATAAAGGAATAAGATTTTCTGATCATATTGCTTTTAGACTTGCAAATACTACATGTAACTTGAAGCTTTTCATGTAAAATTTGAAATGCAATCAAGTTTGACGAATTTCACACTACTAAGAGTTATCTCCCCTTGTCGGCATAGTCTCATTTTTCCCACTTTGTCCTTTGTAAGTTACCTGTTATTATTTTCAATCTTCAAACTTTATTGGACAATTTAGATCTGTACCTGTTTTGCCGAAGTTTGGGGCAACATGAAAATCTTAATGAACGATATTGACATTACAGATTTTATTTTTAAGATACTGACCAATAAATTTGGTAAGGTTACATACAGAGGGAAAACAGGGCCTTACGCTGGATTGACCCCGCAAAGGGGAATAACTTGTGTAAAATTTAATGTGAAAGTTGTCTATTTTTTTTTAACATATATTTTTTATTAACCTCAAGGACAAAAAGTATACACTTGGAACACACACAAAAACAGATGAGTCCATGCCAAGCTAAAGATTAATGCAGAAGGTAAGTTCAATTTTTCATTTCGTAACTCTTTCTGGTTTTATCCAGATCGGACCTTACATATAATTAAGTCAGCTTCAGTATATAATAGAAGAATATGGGGATAACGAACAGTATTCATTTCAATCTCAAAGTCCATAAAACAATACAAAATAAGAGCAGAACACGGATCCCCGAAACATCAGAGGTGGGATCAGGTGCCATAATAAAACACCTATTTACTTACTATTCGGAAAATAGCTTGTTTATCATTTCCCTCGGCTGCATCTTGGGGAATAGTTGTTGTCTTGGGGGACGATAAACTAGCTATTGTTCTCATAGCCAGTAAATAGGTGTACATGAATACTGTTTTTAGCTCTTCTGAGCCAAAGGCTCAAAGAGCTAACGCTATGGCCATTTGTGCGGTGTGCATAAACTTTTTAGAATGTGGGCCATAACTCAAGATCCCCTTGGACAATCATTGTCAAATTTTCACAGGGCATCCTTGGCCCAAGGGCTACCATTTATACTAAAATTAGGGTTTGGACCCTTATACAAGGGGAGATAACAGGAAGATAAAACCAAAAGAAGTCTATGCATAGAATTGTTAAACTTTGTCAGTTGAGGCATCTTGGGTTTTTGGGAATGTCGACCAAAAAGTAGGTCACCATGACCTATTTATGGTATTTTATAGCTCTATTGAAATATGTTCAGTCCTAACTGGCTAAGAATCATGATGGAACTTTCTTGGTTGATGTATTTTGGGTCTTATAAACATACGAGGCTTCAAATACTAGTGATAGATTGTACAATTTATTAGAAGAGCGATTCAAGGCCCTTGGGTTTCCTGTTTTCCATCGTCATACACTGTGCTCTGTCTGGTAAAATTTTAGCAGTTACAGCCTCCTCCCCCCACCGCCACCCAAACTAAGGGGGGGGGGTTAACCCATCAAAATTATTCAAAATTGTATTTTTTTAATCGGACATCAAGCAAACTATTAGCAAGATTTTAATAAGCATTGAGTCCTACTAAAATTATGAAATTCATAAAGCCCCAGGATATGTGGATCAGATGTAAAGGCACAGCTTTATTAATTAATCATAAACTGAAAATGCATTGATTCATTGAAAATCTTTATAATGCTCCTAAGTTGAAAGCAAAAAGACTACGTTCATGACAATGAGGAATAAGTTTTATACCCTGTAATCAAAGATTCTGGGGTACATCTATATAGCTTTTGCCCTGTCTGTCTGTCTGCAAAATCTTTTCCAGGCTCTGACAAATCCCATTGCCCGACGCCCGGGGCTAGTGAATTTTAGAGGCGGGCAAGTGAATTTTTAATAGGCACTCCCCGTGGGCAAGTGGCTTAAAAAATAAATCAATAAATATTTTTAAAAATGTCATAGTTTTCAACGAAATTAAAATTATTTTGTTGTAAGAGTTATCTTCCTTTGTTTGTCACACTTCGTTTACGAACCAGTTTAATTGTGTCATCATTATGCAATTCATTGCAATTAAGTTTTACCGAAAGTTTTAAGTACATGTATTAGTACTTAATTAAAAGTGACAATACAAATAAATTGGCATTGGAGAAATGGAGAAAGTTTTGACAGTTATGAGGCAGAAAACGATCGACATCGTCCATAAGAATGTTAGTGAAAAACTCCGTACAAAACTGTCAAAGCATACCAGGTCCATACAGAAAAGAAAAAAAGGTCCGAAATTATTATTTTAAACAAATACCAGATATCATGACTATAGCTGAAATATGATAGCAATTTTACGTCTCTATATGAAAGAAAATATTATTCTGGAACGGCGTCAAACAGCATACAGTCAATCAATAGATTGTATGGTACGTAGTACTTAATGGCAGGTGGGTTTTAAATGTCGCCAATATTCAAATTAACAACCCTAGGCTGAATTTTTTTTTTGATTTAGAGACAAATTAATTCATATATGATGAATTTAAAGTGCTGACGGGACAATTAAAAATTGAAGTAGGGCAAGTGAATTTTGACCATGCACTTGCCCGTGGTGAAGTGCTTGAAAAATATATTTTGTAGCCCCTGTTTTCACATTGGCCATATTATTTTAGTGGGTGAAAGTATGGCTTTCATATTTCACAGACCTGGGTATTCATTGTGACAATACTTTTGTATTGGTACACCAAATTAACCTTTAGAATTGAAGTTTCATAACTTGAATCTTGGCCTTAACTTTTGAACAGTTGGTGCAAGGGCTTTCATACTTCACTTGTATATTTATTGTGACAAGACCTTTCAATGGGTATAAACAGAGCTGCCAACATTCTGAAATGAAAAATATTTGACCTTGCCCTGTCGCTGAAGATATTTTGTAAATGTACACGTAATCGGAGGAATTTGAGGCACGTTTCCATTTTGTTTACATTGACATGAATGCGATCGGCCAAAAACTGTTGTAAAAAAATATTTAATTATAATAGTAGAAACTGTTTATGAAAACCCCGGTATTATAAACTTTGATGGAGAAAAACTGAAATCGAAAGAATATAGAGAGAAATCGTAAGGCATATTTTGGATGCTAATTTCGTAGACTTACGAAAATCGTAAGGGTTGGCAGCTCTGTATAAATTAAAATATTTGACCTTGAACTTCTAGTTTAACCCACTGTTCTTTGATCATAACTTTTGAGCTGATAGTAGTAGGGCTTTCATATTTCACAGATTTATTCTTTGTGACAAGTCCTTCCTTGGATGTCAACAATTTGACCTTTGACCTTGACTTTGGAGTTTGACTTGCACTTGGGAAACTTTAACCATAAGCTGGCATATGGGGTATTAGTATGTACAAACACATCTATTTTTCCGAGTTCACGCACAAATCATTGCTATGTAATGAATTTTAGATAAGAAAATTACAAGGTAAATATTTGAAGATATAGTGAAAAAAATAGCTTAAAAGATCATGGTTATGAATACTAAAAAAATAATTATTTAGTATTTATATTTAAGTTCTACGGAGAATCAACCAGGATTAATATCAGGATAATAATAATGTTCAGGGGAAAAAATGGGTTTTTCCCTTATTTCATGCATTTAATATTTTCTTTTTCTTTACAGGTAAAAGAGAACTGGAGAAAAATGAATTGATGTTAACATACTCTACATTAAATTTGGCTTAAATCTAAATATGTCTTTTGTTGTGATTGCTTCAAGAGCAATTAAGGATCAGGAAATTTAAAGTGAAGGATAACCAGAAAGTGGATCATTCAACAGATGAAAAGAAAATAAGCCTTTGAGGGAAATTATGTCAAATGCATGAATTGAATATTTAAATTGCATGTAATGTTTGTTTCACCAACGATTACAATATGTGAAAAAAATGTTCAAAACATGTGTTTAACCATGGTTTGACACATTTTTGTATGGTATTCGTACATTTACTATATGAGCAGTGCAAATAACAAACCCATTAAACATGTTATGAGAAACATATGTTACACACACGTTGCACGTACGTTATTCATATGTGAAACATATGAATAACGTACGTGTGCAATATATGTGTAACGTATGGTGGGCAATACGTACGTTTAACATACGTGACACGCATGATATTCACACGTGTGAAAACATAGGTATAACATACGTGGTACTTTCATGGAAAACGTACGTGAAGTGACGGACGTGTCACATACATTTAACATACGTGAAACGTACGTGGCACAATTAGCTGTGTATACAGTAATAGCCTTTATCAATGATCTTTATAAAAACTGTGGATGAGGAGTATCTAAAACTAGCCAGAAAACATTTTTGATTTAATTGGCAAAGCACTTGTTCTATTGATAGGAAGGCACATTTATATATCTACACTGGACATGCACTGATATCTAAAGCATAAAGTGTTATATCAGGTGCAGAACATGAAATAATTCTGAGAAAAGTTTTCACAAGTGAACTTATCAAACAAGGTTTTGAACAAAAGAAAATACATGTATGTGTTCATCTTATATATTCCTAAAATAAATTTTTTTACCACAACACATGCACTCAAGCAAATAGAACTAATTTGAGAAACTGCAATGGATGGAATTATCAGTAAAAATCCAAAATCGCACCGTGACCTCAATTAGAAAGAGTATTGACCTAGCGGCTGAGTTGAGTTTTAAGTAGCATTTAATCAAGAAAAAAGGAAACTACACTATGAACACAAATCCTTCTCTAGTGCATATGAAAACAATACAAAATCCAAACAAAAATTTATACATTATTCCAAAACTGCCAAAAAATACTCTTCTACATTCAATTTGCATGTTCATGTGAACACTTCACAAAAATTATGTTTAAACACATAGATTAAAAATTGAGGTATGTGAAATTTACATCCGTGAATAACTGGACACATATGACAGGGTCTATAGATGTATTGTACAGATGAGTCTTGCTTACAATCAGTTTGTATGTGAAAGACTTTTTGATAATGGAAAATGTATCGTACTTATATCCCTATAGGCTATATAGCAAAAATTCTCTTACTATCATATTCTGACTCTGACATGATTCAAACAACACAACATCTTTTCTTGGTATATCACTAAAACTTGTTCAATTTATGCATTTACAATCGATATTACTGTATACTGGGAAATTTTTCCCCCTTTTTGTTTTTGCTTTCTCCACTGGACGAATTTAAAACAAGGCAAAATTTGAAGAACACAGCATAATTTCATAAACAGAACTATGACTGGACCAATCTAAAATGGGGCAAAATTGTTCACAAGTGCAGAAGGGCGAAAATAACACGGAGCGAAAATAACGCTGTATACAGTATTCAGATGTTGTAAGAATTAAGCTCTGTATCGTCGGACATTTCTAGTGCTGTGAGTAAACCTCTGTCCCACTTTCTTTGATAAGCAGTGACAATCCTAACAGCTCTGTGTGATGTGCAGAAAAGTAAAATGAACTTATTGCAGTGATGGAGGGATTACTGGCGTCAGTATAAAGTGAAATGAACTTACTGCAGCGATGGAGGGTTTACTGGTATCAGTAAAGTGATGGAGGGTTTAATGGCATCAGTGTAAAGTGAAATGAACTTACTGCAGCGACGGAGGGTTTACTGGGGTCAGTATAAAGTGAAATGAACTTACTGCGGCGATGGAGGGTTTACTGGGATGGAGGGTTTACTGGGGTCAGTATAAAGTGAAATGAACTTACTGCAGCGATGGAGGGTTTACTGGGGTCAGTATAAAGTGAAATGAACTTACTGCGGCGATGGAGGGTTTACTGGCGTCTCCGGCTGGAGGATGGGTCACGTCGGCGCCGAGGAAAATAACAGGTTCTCTAAATATGGCAGGACTGTAAAGAACAAGGGAGTGAGATAGAACGTGCAGAGCTACACGGCGGCGACAGTAGGCATGCCTAAAGCCCAGATAATACATGTATAAGTAATAAAACAACAATGAACTCTCAGATTTCGAACTGTCAGCTGCAGTACATGGAGCATGCATTACATTTATAATTCTTAGTAACATATGTACTGTATGTCAAATATATTTTGGGAATTTCATATTATGTAATTTCAGGACATGTGAAATTTATATGTACTTACGTCCCCAGTTTGTGTTCAGAATGATGCCAATGAAGAATAGAAGAATTGCCCTCCTGAGAACCTTGTACAGCATTCTATATCTAGGGACGCCTCTCTTCTTCATACCGCGAAAGGAATAATTCATTGCTGTTCCCATAATAAAAATAAACCTGTTGAAGCAATCAAAAATACAGAAATCTTAATCTAAAACAATGAAGCAATCCGTATCAAAACTGATTTTTCTTCAAATGCAATTATAATGCTTTCAGCATCAACAAAAAATGAGAAGATGAAGGCCTAGGATTGTTCGAGAAATGGTCTGATTTATAAGAGTTATCAAAATAAGAAAATTAAGAAAAATAAACACGCAATGTTACCATGGAAACACTAGATCTGCAACTGTCAATCCATTCCAAGGAGGGTGATCAAAAAACCAGTATCCCCCTCCTCCATAGTTGACAAATATCATAATCATCAGACTCAATCTAAAAAAAGAAAGAACATATATCACCGAAATTCAAATTCCCATAATTCACAAAAGAATCTTCAGTAACAAGAGGTCCATGGGCCACATCGCTCACCTGAGTACCAAGGGTAGGACTAGTATAAAATGTCTTTTTATTGTAAAGTTTAAATCCAAAAGTAGTCCCATGACCAATCATGGATTTTCTATTTTTTCGAAAATGATTAAGAAGATTTTTAAAGAATTTTCCTATATATTTCTATGTAAAACTTTAATCGGCCATTTTGGCCCCGCCCTACCCCCAGGGATCATGATTTAAAAAAACTTGAATCTACACTACCTGAACATGCTTCCATATAAATATGATGAATAATGGCTTTGTCATTCTTGAGAAGAAGATATTTAAAGAATTTTCCTATATATTTCTATGTAAAACTTTGGTCGGCCATTTTGGCCCCGCCCTACCCCCGGGGGTCATGATTTGAACAAACTTGAATCTACACTACCTGAGCATGCTTCCATATAAATATGATGAATAATGGCTATGTCATTCTTGAGAAGAAGATTTTTAAAGAATTTTCCTATATATTTCTATGTAAAACTTTGGTCGGCCATTTTGGCCCCGCCCTACCCCCGGGGGTCATGATTTGAACAAACTTGAATCTACACTACATGAGCATGTTTCCATATAAATATGATGAATTATGGCTTTGTCATTCTTGAGAAGAAGATATCTAAAGAATTTTCCTATATATTTCTATGTAAAAATTTGGTCGGCCATTTTGGCCCCGCCCTACCCCCGGGGGTCATGATTTGAACAAACTTGAATCTACACTACATGAGGATGCTCCCATATAAATATGATGAATTATGGCTTTGTCATTCTTGAGAAGAAGATTTTTAAAGAATTTTCCTATATATTTCTATGTAAAACTTTGGTCGGCCATTTTGGCCCCGCCCTACCCCCGGGGGTCATGATTTGAACAAACTTGAATCTACACTACCTGAACATGCTTCCATATAAATATGATGAATTATGGCTTTGTCATTCTTGAGAAGAAGATTTTTAAAGAATTTTCCTATATATTTCTATGTAAAACTTTGGTCGGCCATTTTGGCCCCGCCCTACCCCCGGGGGTCATGATTTGAACAAACTTGAATCTACACTACCTGAGCATGCTTCCATATAAATATGATGAATTATGGCTTTGTCATTCTTGAGAAGGAGATTTTTAAAGAATTTTCCTATATATTTCTATGTAAAACTTTGGTCGGCCATTTTGGCCCCGCCCTACCCCCGGGGGTCATGATTTGAACAAACTTGAATCTACACTACCTGAGCATGCTTCCATATAAATATGATGAATTATGGCTTTGTCATTCTTGAGAAGAAGATTTTTAAAGAATTTTCCTATATATTTCTATGTAAAACTTTGGTCGGCCATTTTGGCCCCGCCCTAGCCCCGGGGGTCATGATTTGAACAAACTTGAATCTACACTACCTGAGGATGTTTCCCCATAAGTTTCATCTTTCCTGGCACAGTGGTTCTTGAGAAGAAGATTTTTAAAATATACCACTAAATTTTCATTAATTCCCAATTATCTCCCCTTGAATAAGGGCGTGGCCCTTCATTTGAACAAACTTGAATCCCCTTCACCCAAGGATACTTTGTGGCAAGTTTGGTTGAAATTGGCCCAGTGGTTCTTGAGAAGAAGTCGAAAATGTGAAAAGTTTACAGACAGACAGACAGACGGACAGACGGACGCCGGTGTCGCATAATATTTGGTCCGCCTCGTTTAAAGGTCCGGCCGGACCTAATACGATATCATATTTGGTCCGCCTTTTATAAGAAAAGGTCCGGCCCGTATAAGAAAAGGTCCCCCTGCGTTTTAAGGTCCGGGTGGTGCAAAATGTTTTAATCTTGACTTTAACATATGAAATTAAGGCTACCGGGTAGTTTGTTTATACTATATGATGAAAGAAGGATTATAACCCTGTTGTGTTTTATTTTTTGTACAACATACAAGTATCTCTAGACAAGAATCTACTCGTATAGCATGTATAGTGTGCTTTAAGCAGTGCCGTTTAGGGCCATGATTTCTTTAAAAACCATGCCACAATTATTTTGCAAGTGTTTCTTTTTCCTTAGAATTTGCTTTTTGTAAATTAGTACGATTAAAGGTGTGAAATCTGTCGGTATGTATAGCTAATAAAACAATGGGTGTGTGACGTATTTGTTTATCTGACAGGTACCCAGTGCCCACAGGTAGAGCCCGCGGCAGATGGCGCTGTCATTGAATGGTCGGTGAACCTAATGGTCATGTGTTAGCTTTACATATTAATAGATCTGATTTTTTAATTAATAAATTATGCCAAGGAACCAAATATTCAGGTGTACACTTCAAAACTGCGACATTTTTAATAATTATAACCATACATGTATAATCTTTATTTGAATATTTAAAGCTAAATATGGCGTATCTGAGCTAAAAATTAAAAATACAAGATTAAGCGTAGATTTACATGAGATTTGGTTTTTATGTTTAAATCAAAAATTTCACCGATATTGAACTTAAATATCCCCACGTTTCTATTAGTTAAATTCAAACTAATTGAATTAAAACTGTGTCTGATATTTAAATTCCGAGTCGATAAGAATCGGCCATTGTTTTAAATCTCGGATATCTATGAAACGCGATTGATTCAAATTATTTGATTTTCATAAAATGTTTCAGTCTGCATTCCATTCCGGATTTTTTTTTTTTTTTGGTGTTGAAATTTTATACTTTTTATTTCCGACATTCTAAGTAAAGTGTTCATCTCCGACATTTTTCGGGAATTTAGTGCTTTTCGGTAATGAAAAATTTTAAAGAATAAATTATAGACTGTTTAGTAAATCAATGTTCGGTGCAGTCTTTGACATTTAATTTAGTGAACATTAAATGCAATGAAAAAATTGCATGCTCATTAAACTCTGTTAACTAGACTTAGTGCTTCATGTACAGATGTATATACATGTATACAGAACTTTTATATTAAAAATGTTGTGTATAATAAATTCTTTCAAAATTCCATTTCTACATACATGTACCTGGTAAACATTAAATTGCCGGAGAGGTACCTTGCATTCCAGAAATGAAAAGAAATAAATGTCAGAAAAGAAAAGACAAATTGTCGGAAATGAAATAAAGAAATGGCGGAAATGCCATGTCGATTTCCGGAAATGAAATGCAGCGGTCCTATCTTTACAGTGGTATATAAAGACCAAAACAAATAGAAAGATCTTTTTTATATTTTTAGTCTGAACTTATAAAAAAAAAACGCCTTATATGACTCTAAAGTTTTTAAACGCAGTATAATATAAGGTCCGCCCTCTGTATTTCAGATATCTTCATGTCATAAAGTGAAATTTTTGGACAAGGTTTATTTTCGTAGCTTGAAAACTAGAAAAATAGACAGGGCAGACCTTAAAACGCAGTTATTAGAAAAGGTCCGCCCTCTGTATTTCAGATATTTTTATATTAGAAAGGGGAAATTTTTGGACAGGGTTTATTTTCGTAGCATGAAAACTAGAAAAATAGACAGGGCGGACCTTAAAACGCAGTTATCAGAAAAGGTCCGCCCTCTGTATTTCATATATCTCCATGTCATAAACGGAAATTTTTGGACAGGGTTTATTTTAGTAGCTTGAAAACTAAAAAAAAAATAAAAAATAGACAGGGCGGACCTTAAAACGCAGTTATCAGAAAAGGTCCGCCCTCTGTATTTCAGATATTTATGTGTTATAAAGGGAAATTTTTGGACAGGGTTTATTTTCGTAGCTTAAAACCCTAGAGAAAGAGACAGGGCGGACCTTAAAAACATAATTACCAGAAAAGGTCCGCCCTCTGTATTTCAGATATATTCATGTCATAAAGAGAAATTTTTGGACAGGGTTTATTTTCGTAGCTTGAAAACTGACAGGGCGGACCTTAAAACGCAGTTATCAGAAAAGGTCCGCCCTCTGTATTTCAGATATTTTTATATTATAAAGGGAAAATTTTAGACAGGGTTTATTTTCTTAGCTTAAAAAACTAGAGAAAGAGACAGGGCGGACCTTAAAACGCAGTTATCAGAAAAGGTCCGCCCTCTGTATTTCATATATCTTAATGTCATAAAGTGAAATTTTTGTACAGGGTTTATTTTCGTAGCTTGAAAACTAGAAAAATAGACAGGGCGGACCTTAAAACGCAGTTATCAGAAATGGTCCGCCCTCTGTATTTCAGATATTTTTATATTATAAAGGGAAAATTTTAGACAGGGTTTATTTTCTTAGCTTAAAAAACTAGAGAAAGAGACAGGGCGGACCTTAAAACGCAGTTATAAGAAAAGGTCCGCGCTCTGTATT